GCACATATCACATTTTAATGACTTAAGTACCGTCTGGTACATTGTTAGAATTTGACAACATAATACAAATATATACAAGTACGTTTGTGTGTATGTGTGTAAGTGCTCTAAGTAGTTCGCTGTCTCACAACTCGACTCGACTAGACTTAACCAGTGACTGACTAAAAGTCCTCACATAAACTAACTTCTTGACCAACCTGGTAATCAGAACAGCTTGCTTGAACATTAAAACGACTGTTAAGCCGAACAGCAATATAACAAGCAACAGCAACACAGAATCAGGAACAAGGAGATAATATAATGACATTAAGTAGGGACCATCTGCAGATCCTCCACAAAAGTCACAAAACTCCCATACTACTGAATCTAAGTTCAGCATAAGAAAATCCCCGACTGTGACAGTACACAGATACCAGTACAAGTTAGGTCAGAAGCTACAGCTCAGGACCTGGGTTGCTCAGAGTGTCTATAAGACACACAACCTCAGTACAACGTCGAAAATCACTAAGTCTAGGCTATGTTCTATGAACAGAGTTACACAGAACCAACAACAAGAAAGTGACAGACGATCTTCCAACAAGGGCCAGCAAGGGAGAGCTAGGCACGTCTTGTTCGAAGAACGTCCAACAGACAAGAGAGGGCGAGTCAAAGCAAGACAGTCTCACCCAGGTGAGGTGTGATCACCCCCCCCCCGATCACGTGACTCAGTGGACTGCTGCTGCCCAGCAACACAGAGAAGCTGGCAGGGAAACGAGCACCGAGCGATAATTACATTAGTTAGACATTCAAGACGAACTATGAGCACTGAATAATATATATAAATGTTACATCCTACCTAATAATATAACTAAGTCAAATAATAATATAAAGCAATATATTTACGATTTTGCTATTATCGCAAATATAAGCAATATAAAATTATATGAAAAGGTAATATACATTATATACATTGTGACCCATTCAGGGGTCGCAATAGGAAACGTTGCCAGACTTCCCTGATGTGGTTTCGAATCTTGCTGACTGCGATCGTTCTCCGTATATACCTCTGCTTGTTTCTGCGTGGTACACTGATATATCTGTTTGCACAAAACAATGGAGAGGAGAGCACATGACACGGTTACAATCTTGCAAAAGCTATCCACCACACAGTGGCCGGGCCACTAAATTTCACATCCTTCTCCTTATTTCAGAGTATCCCTAACCTTCTTCGGGTATCCTTCCCGGTGGTCTCCGGTGCCATCACTCAAGGCACGAGTGCACAATACACGCTATACACTGTCCACGCAAACTGTATATATATTCTTGTACAAAACTGGTGTACAATACCGACAAGATGAAAATTTAGACACATGTGCACCATCTGGGTATCTTTATTGTAGACGTTTCTCTATCCAGTGGCTTTATCAATACAGATTCAAGGACATAACTTGAAGACAGTAGAATTATATACAGAAGATGAGGTAATCGGTCCCAGTGCTCATCACACCAACTCCAAGTCTGAGAGACTGACTACCTCATCTTTTGTATATAGTTCTACTGTCTTCATATAATGTCCTAGAATCTGTACTGATAAAGCCACTGGATGACGAAACGTCTACAGTAAAGAAATCCAGATGTTGCACATATATACACTGGCATTGTGGATAGTGGTAATGATTTTCACGTCTACAAGGGCCAAGGCTCTAGGTTTGTACGCATTGCAAGTTGTCCTCAGTCTTATAATATACAATTTAAAGTATAATATAATAAAAATATGACTGAGTGGTAATGATGGAGGGATGACAGAGGGTGTACTCACCTAGTTGTACTCACCTAGTTGAGGTTGCAGGGGTCGATTCCTAGCTCCTAGCCCCGCCTCTTCACTGGTCGCTACTAGGTCACTCTCCCTGAACCGTGAGCTTTATCATACCTCTGCTTAAAGCTATGTATGGATCCTGCCTCCACTACATCGCTTCCCAAACTATTCCACTTCCTGACTACTCTGTGACTGAAGAAATACATCCTAACATCCCTGTAAATCATCTGTGTCTTCAACTTCCAACTGTGTCCCCTTGTTGCTGTGTCCCATCTCTGGAATATCCTGTCTTTGTCCACCTTATCAATACCTCTCAGTATTTTGTATGTCGTTATCACGTCCCCCCTATCTCCCCTGTCCTCCAGTGTAGTCAGGTCGATTTCCCTTAACCTCTCCTCGTAGGACATACCCCTTAGCTCTGGGACTAGTCTTGTTGCAAACCTTTGCACTTTCTCTAGTTTCTTTACGTGCTTGGCTAGGTGTGGGTTCCGAACTGGTGCTGCATACTCCAATATGGGCCTAACGTACACGGTGTACAGGGTCCTGAACGATTCCTTATTAAGATGTCGGAATGCTGGTCTTAGGTTTGCTAGGCGCCCGTATGCTGCAGCAGTTATTTGGTTGATGTGCGCTTCAGGAGATGTGCCTGGTGTTATACTCACCCCAAGATCTTTTTCCTTGAGTGAGGTTTGTAGTCTCTGGCCCCCTAGACTGTACTCCGTCTGTGGACGAGGTCTGCAACCTGTCCAGATCCCTCTGTAGTTCTGCCTGGTCTTCGACCAAAGTGTTGCTGTGTTAAGGCTGTGATTTGTAGTTCTTAAGTATTTGACTTTTAGTTTAACATTCATACTTGCGTCCTTGTGTCATGTACTTTTCCTAGTAAATGCATTGTTATGTATTTCCTAATGTTTTTATGTTGCATTTTGTTGTGATTGGCATGATTTTTACAAAGATATATTTTTTGTGTTCCAGAATAAAAGATGGCTGCAGCACAGAAGACGAAAATGAAGTGTAGCCAATATAGTGTGGAATATCTGAAATATGGATTTGTATCAGCACCAAATAACAACAACCAATGTGTCTACTGTGTGAATCTTTTCAAACGAAGCCATAAAACCTTCCAGGTTTCTTGAACACTAGAAGACAGTACTCTCTGATAAAGCAGCCGATAACTTAGCATATTTTCCGTCACTTCGAGAAAACTTACAGAAACGGAAAACCAATTGGAAATATATTTGTTAACACTTCACAACAATCCAGTAATGGTTTTCGTACATCGTACAATATCTTATTGCTGACTGCTAGATCTGGTAAGCCTCCTTACAGCTGAGGAAGAGCTTATTTTGCAAGTGCAGCGCTGTATGACCCTGGTGGTATGGCGCTTAGTTTCGATTATAATAATAAGAATTATTTTGCCAGCAGTAAGTGAGGTTCTGCACAGTTTTACACAAGTCATCTGAACAAATTATTAGGGTCATTGCTTTCACTGATAACTCTGTTCAAAGAAGAGCGAATGAAATGACTGAAAACATTAAAGACACATAATGCAACATGCTTACAGTTAGATGAGTCCATTCTGCCAGGCAATGAATCTTTGCTTCTTGCTTACGTTCGTTTCGTCAGAGATGAAAGTTTGGTTCAAGAATTGATATTTTTTTCAAAGAGAAAGACTTCCCACTTACCATCATTCTTGTTTATGCAACAGATAGGGCACTATTGATGACAGGCTGTTATCATGGCTTCAATGTCTTGAAAACAGCTGCACTGTGTAATCCACACGCAATATCTGGTTGCAAAAAAGCCTAAGCACTGTTATCATAGTAGTAAATAGAGTCAAGGCACATGATCTCAGTTCCCGACTGTTTCGACAGCTCTGCACTGAGAATGATAAGAATTTCAACGTTTGTTGTTGCACACAGAAGTTAGATGGCGCTGACAAAGGGAAGCTTCCTGAGACGTTTCTATTCACTATTTAAAACAATTTCTGAATTCTTCCAAGATTTCAATTCTATTCTATGTGATGAACTAAGAAACACCAAGCATGACATTGCTTATTTGTCAGATGACTTCACATAGTTTAGCGAAGTTAATTTGCAAATGCAAGTAACTGAGGTTAATCTTATCAAAATCAAATCAGCCGCTTCCACTTTTCTGTCCAGGTTACAGTTATTCAAACATAACATAGCCCCTCGTGAGCTCTTCCAGTTTCTGAGTCTCTGAAATTGAGATCATACCAGACGATGACCTTCATGTATAGTGCACACCTGAATGACCTTCATAGTCATGTCTGACAGATTTCAGGATTTTTTTTTATGCTTAATGTACCAGACTGAGTGATCAAACCATTCCTAAATATCAGCAATAAGGAAACAGGAATGATGAAGCCAAAGTTCCAAAAATCATATCAAGATTTTTAGTTACAAAAAAAAATATAAAAAAAATAAAACATTACTGACAGCTACCCTGCACTGTGGAACAAAGTCAAGATGTACTTTATTGCCTTCCCAACGTCATATCTAGTAGAGCGAAGCTTCAGCACAGTCGTCAAGCTTCTCTCCAAGCAAAGAAACAGACTGAAAATTGGTGAATGTGGGGATGTAAGACTTCTTAGTGTCTTCAAGATTGATGTTGAGAAGCTGATGTTCCTGCACCAAGCACGTCCATCTCATTAAAATTGTGAAGATAATTTAGTTACAGATGAGATGTAAATTTACCCTTTCATATTGTTAAATAAATTGGTTCACTATGTTAATTTTTATTCGTAAAATAAATATACTTGTTTATGGTGTTAGATTAGTTGTTGCTCTGAATTTGGAGTAAACCTGACACCAAGAAAGAGGTATGTTCGTATGCGTGTGTGGGTGCTAGTGATGTGGCCTGGGAGCCGAGGGGGCGGCAGCCTGGGAGCCAAGGGGGCGGCAGCCTGGGAGCCAAGGGGACGGCAGCCTGGGAGCCAAGGGGACGGCAGCCTAGGACCCATGGGGGCGGCAACCTGGGAGCCAAGGTTGTGGCAACCTGGCAGCCAAGGGGACGGCAGCCTGTGAGTCAAAGGGGCGGCAGCCTGGGAGCCAAAGGGGCGGCAGCCTGGGAACCAAGGGGGCGGCAGCCTGGAAAAGTTTGGGAATCACTGCTGTAGACTGTAGTCTCTGGCAGCCATACACTGTTGAAGAATGGAGTCTTGTTGAATAATAAACACTGTGCTCACCTGTGATGGGTGTGAGAGACGTGAGCACCAGCTGGCCGGTGTGAGGACCACTGACACCAGCAGAGAGTGCAAGAACTTGTTGCTGTTGCTGCTGCTGATGCTGCTGCTGATGCTGCTGTTGCTGCAGCTGCTGTACCACGCCTCCTCCCTGCACGCCCATGCCTTGCATAACCTGCTGACTTCCTCCTGCTGCTGCTGCTGCCGCTGCCGCTGCTGCTGCCGCTGCCGCTGCTTCGTGGTTCTTGGCCGCCAACTTTTCCTGTTTCCTCCACTTGGCTCGACGGTTCTGGAACCACACCTGCAGATACACGGTGAAGGACACGTGCCCAGAATATTCTCATAGTCATGGGAAGGACCCCAATGGAAATAAAGGTCCCCAATGGAAATAAGTCACTCTGTCTGACTTTTTTGGGTTATCCTAGGTTCTCTACACATATGCTGCTATGTATGATAATTCTATGTAACTGTATTTGTGTATACCTGAATAAACTTACTTACTTGCTTACTTATGGGGGAAAGCGATAAATCCGTAGGGGAAGATAATGAAAGCTTATCCAAGGAAAGGGAGGGGAGCTTCGATTACTTAGGAAGAAAGGAGAGAGCTGTCCACCAGCATCAAAGTGATCCCTTGAAGATCAGGAGAAAGGTAACAAGAGGGCAAAACGCGCTGAGAGAAACTGCTCTACATATTCCGTGGCTTTCCATATTTCTCTGTCACCAATTCAGCAAAATTGTCTTCTAAACTAAAGAATAAATACTTGCTCAGACAACTTTCAGGAAGATGAAGAATCATGCGACTCTAGTAGTGAAGGTGACAGTGAGTGAATATTAGTTGTGAAGGTGACAGTGAGTGAATGTTAGTTGTGAAGGTGACAGTGAGTGAAAGTTAGTTGTGAAGGTGCAGTGAGTGAAATGATAGTTGTGAAGGTGACAATGAGTGAATGTTAGTTGTGAAGGTGACAGTGAGTGAATGTTAGTTGGAAGGTGACAATGAGTGAATGTTAGTTGTGAAGGTGACAATGAGTGAATGTTAGTTGTGAAGGTGACAGTGAGTGAATGTTAGTTGTGAAGGTGACAATGAGTGAATGTTAGTTGTGAAGGTGACAGTGAGTGAATGTTAGTTGTGAAGGTGACAATGAGTGAATGTTAGTTGTGAAGGTGACAGTGAGTGAATGTTAGTTGTGAAGGTGACAATGAGTGAATGTTAGTTGTGAAGGTGACAGTGAGTGAATGTTAGTTGTGAAGGTGACAGTGAGTGAATGTTAGTTGTGAAGGTGTACATGAGTGAATGTTAGTTGTGAAGGTGACAGTGAGTGAATGTTAGTTGTGAAGGTGACAGTGAGTGAAAGTTAGTTGTGAAGGTGACAGTGAGTGAATGTTAGTGTGAATAGTGGAAGGTTGATCAGTGAGTGAATGTTAGTTGTGAAGGTGACAATGAGTGAATGTTAGTTGTGAAGGTGACAGTGAGTGAATGTTAGTTGTGAAGGTGACAGTGAGTGAAAGTTAGTTGTGAAGGTGACAGTGAGTGAAAGTTAGTTGTGAAGGTGACAGTGAGTGAATGTTAGTTGTGAAGGTGACAGTGAGTGAATGTTAGTTGTGAAGGTGACAGTGAGTGAATGTTAGTTGTGAAGGTGACAGTGACTGAATGTTAGTTGTGAAGGTGACAGTGAGTGAATGTTAGTTGTGAAGGTGACAGTGAGTGAATGTTAGTTGTGAAGGTGACAGTGAGTGAAAGTTAGTTGTGAAGGTGACAGTGAGTGAATGTTAGTTGTGAAGGTGACAGTGAGTGAATGTTAGTTGTGAAGGTGACAGTGAGTGAATGTTAGTTGTGAAGGTGACAGTGAGTGAATGTTAGTTGTGAAGGTGACAGTGAGTGAATGTTAGTTGTGAAGGTGACAGTGAGTGAATGTTAGTTGTGAAGGTGACAGTGAGTGAATGTTAGTTGTGAAGGTGACAGTGAGTGAATGTTAGTTGTGAAGGTGACAGTGAGTGAATGTTAGTTGTGAAGGTGACAGTGAGTGAATGTTAGTTGTGAAGGTGACAGTGAGTGAATGTTAGTTGTGAAGGTGACAGTGAGTGAATGTTAGTTGTGAAGGTGACAGTGAGTGAATGTTAGTTGTGAAGGTGACAGTGACTGAATGTTAGTTGTGAAGGTGACAGTGACTGAATGTTAGTTGTGAAGGTGACAGTGAGTGAATGTTAGTTGTGAAGGTGACAGTGAGTGAATGTTAGTTGTGAAGGTGACAGTGAGTGAATGTTAGTTGTGAAGGTGACAGTGAGTGAATGTTAGTTGTGAAGGTGTCAGTGAGTGAATGTTAGTTATGAAGGTGACAGTGAGTGAATGTTAGTTGTGAAGGTGACAGTGAGTGAATGTTAGTTGTGAAGGTGACAGTGAGTGAATGTTAGTTGTGAAGGTGACAGTGAGTGAATGTTAGTTGTGAAGGTGACAGTGAGTGAATGTTAGTTATGAAGGTGACAGTGAGTGAATATTAGTTGTGAAGGTGACAGTGAGTGAATGTTAGTTGTGAAGGTGACAGTGAGTGAATGTTAGTTGTGAAGGTGACAGTGAGTGAATGTTAGTTATGAAGGTGACAGTGAGTGAATATTAGTTGTGAAGGTGACAGTGAGTGAATGTTAGTTGTGAAGGTGACAGTGAGTGAATGTCAGTTGTGAAGGTGACAGTGAGTAAATGTTAGTTGTGAAGGTGACAGTGAGTGAATGTTAGTTGTGAAGGTGACAGTGAGTGAATGTTAGTTGTGAAGGTGACAGTGAGTGAATGTTAGTTATGAAGGTGACAGTGAGTGAATAATAGTTGTGAAGGTGACAGTGAGTGAATGTTAGTTGTGAAGGTGACAGTGAGTGAATGTCAGTTGTGAAGGTGACAGTGAGTGAATGTTAGTTGTGAAGGTGACAGTGAGTGAATGTTAGTTGTGAAGGTGACAGTGAGTGAATGTTAGTTGTGAAGGTGACAGTGAGTGAATGTCAGTTGTGAAGGTGACAGTGAGTGAATGTTAGTTGTGAAGATGACAGTGAGTGAATGTTAGTTGTGAAGGTGACAGTGAGTGAATGTTAGTTGTGAAGGTGACAGTGAGTGAATGTTAGTTGTGAAGGTGACAGTGAGTGAATGTTAGTTGTGAAGGTGACAGTGAGTGAATGTCATGTATTTATCATCTATACTCACGGCCTAGTGTAAATAATACTTATATATTGTGAATATTTTTCTTAACCACAACGTTTTTACCCCACACAGTGGATACCTTTATTAACCACAACGTTTTTACCCCACACAGTGGATACCTTTATTAACCACAATGTTGTACCCCGTACATTAGATACTTTTAATGGAAACAACGATCCGGCAATGCAGTGGCTTTATCAAGTCAGTGTGAGCGAAACGTTGGCCTTAATAAAATTATCCACTACATCTGATTTATTTGCTCCATCTACTCGATGTTTACACAGCCGAGCATTTCAGAGTTACAACTCTAAGACATAAATACAGTGCTCTAGAGTGAACTACAGACAATCATAGATCTTACTACGGTACACTCAGTCATAGATCGTACTACGGTACACTCAGTCATAGATCTTACTACGGTACACTCAGTCATAGATCTTACTACGGTACAATCAGTCATAGTTCTTACTACGGTACAATCAGTCATAGATCTTACTACGGTACAATCAGTCATAGATCTTACTTCCATTCCTGAGATTCAACGACCAATGGAGGTACACTAGATTTCATGTGTACCGTAGGGCCTCACCTGCACCCTGGCCTCCGTCAAGTCTATCCTCAGAGCGAGTTCCTCCCTGAAGAAGACGTCTGGGTAGTGGGTCCTGTGGAAGGCTCGCTCCAGCTCCTCCAGCTGGTAGTTTGTGAAGGTGGTTCTGAGGAGGCGTACCCAGGAGGGGGAAAACCGTATTAGTTTCTAAACTACAACATTGCTTTTATTTATATAAATTTGGGTACTTCCTACTACTCATTTCTGCAACATTGCAAGCGCCTAATGATGATTGCAACACGAAAGGCTTAGAGACATCAGTCAACTCCTCCTATGGGGGGTAAAGTTATACCAATAAGATGTGGAAAAAGACACTTACTTACAGTTCAGGACCCTTATTAAAGGTAACGTTCCACCAGGAGTGACTTCTTCAGACCTCATACAGATATAACTAAGAACGAGTATATATAGTGGCAAGAGTCAGGTGGCAGGCTACCAGACGGTAGTAATATCTAATAATGTCGGTAATTCTACCAACATTATCACAGGGCAGTAATAGTAGTAGTACAACCGTGGCGAGACGGTCAACTAAAGCAGCCTCTATACACTTTCGTTGTGGCAAATCATCTTCGTTAATTACTAATCGAGCCTTATTGAACTTCAAAAGGTGTTCAAAATCGTACCTGTGTTGGACGCACACAATTTTGCGGTCATCACAGTTGCAGGGGTTCTTGTGCTCCCTGATCCTCATGTACAGAGATCTTCTTGTTATATTATATATATATATATATTATATATATATATATATATATATATATATATATATATATATATATGCAAAACAAACCATTGTGAAAGAATAGAAAAGTTCCAAGCGATTTCGTGACTACTCACATTATCAAGGAACAATGAAAGTAATGCATCAAAGGAAGGTATATAAAGGGGTAGCCCACACCTCACTGTCAGATCCCACAACAACGAAACACCTAACGTGAGACAGCAGGCCCGCCGGCCGAACTAGACAGGTCCTTCATACAACCCACCAACAAACTATTCTACCCAAGGAATAAGAAATTTAAAAAATTATTATTTGTCCAATGTATTATTAAATTCTTCCCAAATTCTATTAATTATAAATGGATCTAATTTATATAAACCAAAGGAAATATTCATATTATTGTCAAAATTGCTTTTTATGAAACAAGATTCAATTATATTTCTGTCGACCATGGACTTGCTTGATACTACTTTCTCAATTTTTTGAAAATCAATTGGATGGTTAAAATCTCTTACATGAATAAATAGAGCATTGGAATCTTGTCCAGTTCTAATGCTATATTTATGTCGTTTTAATCTTAGTTCGAGATATTTACCAGTTTGACCGTAATAAACTTTATCGCAAATTTTACAAGGAATCTTATAGACACATCCATCAGCATTTTGGGGGGAATTCTTTATCAAAAGTTTTTTTACTGTATCAAGATTTTTGAATACAACTTTAATATTAGAAGTCTTAAGAAGAGACGGCATATCAACCAAGTTTTCATGGTAAGGGAGAACCAACATATTTTTAGTTGAATAAGGCTGGTTGTCCCTTTTTGGATTGTAAAAAGCATTTCTAGCAACTTTAAAAGATTTATCAATTACATTTTTTGGGTATTTCAAATCATTACCTATTTCATAAATTTTGGATATTTCCTCATTTATGAACTCTGGACTACAAATTCGTAAAGCTCTCAAAAACATTGATGAGAAAACAGACAGTTTAACTCTATCTAGATGGGAAGAATAATAGTGGACATAGGAACAGTTATTTGTAGGTTTTCTGTAAATTTTAAATTTGAATTCATTATTATTAGCTCCATAGGATCAGTTTCATATAAATTATCCAAATGGCTTGTTGATATTTTGAGCCCTGTTGTTGGCAAAATTTCTAACTTTAATGTTAAAAACAACATAGATTTAGTTGATAAATTAAGCTCCTTGACTGACTTAAATGATTTTAACATGGTTAGTTTTGATGTTACTTCCTTGTTTACGAAAGTTCCTGTTGATGATTTATTAAGTTTCTTATCTGAAGAACTCGTTAATTATGATTTACCATTGCCAGTTCCTACTATCATTAAACTTATTAAACTTTGCATTGTTGATGGAAAATTTGTATTTAATGATAAGTTTTACACTCAGAAGTTTGGTATGGCAATAGGAAATCCTCTTTCACCTGTTCTTAGTAACCTATACATGGAATTTTTTGAAACAAGGTTGCTTAACACAATCCTCCCTAATAGAGCTAAGTGGATCAGATATGTTGATGATATTTTGTGTCTTATGCCCAAAAATGTAGATATACACCATTTCCTTGGCAAATTAAATAGCTTAGCCCATTCTATAAATTTTACTGTTGAATTTGAAGAAAATAACTCACTGCCTTTTCTAGATGTTTTAATTATTAAGGGTAATAATGAATTCAAATTTAAAATTTACAGAAAACCTACAAATAACTGTTCCTATGTCTACTATTATTCCTCGCATCAAGATGGAGTTAAACTGTCTGTTTTCTCATCAATGTTTTTGAGAGCTTTACGAATTTGTAGTCCAGAGTTCATAGATGAGGAAATATCCAAAATTTATGAAATAGGTAATGATTTGAAATACCCAAGAAATGTAATTGATAAATCTTTTAAAGTTGCTAGAAATGCTTTTTACAATCCAAAAAGGGACAACCAGCCTTATTCAACTAAAAATATGTTGGTTCTCCCTTACCATGAAAACTTGGTTGATATGCCTTCTCTTCTTAAGACTTCTAATATTAAAGTTGTATTTAAAAATCTTGATACAGTAAAAAAAACTTTTAATAAAGAATTCCCCCCAAAATGCTGATGGATGTGTCTATAAGATTCCTTGTAAAATTTGCGATAAAGTTTATTACGGTCAAACTGGTAAATATCTCGAACTAAGATTAAAACAACATAAATATAGCATTAGAACTGGACTAGATTCCAATGCTCTATTTATTCATTTAAGAGATTTTAACCATCCAATTGATTTTCAAAAAGTTGAGAAAGTAGTATCAAGCAAGTCCATGGTCGACAGGAATATAATTGAATCTTGTTTCATAAAAAGCAGTTTTGACAATAATATGAATATTTCCTTTGGTTTATATAAATTAGATCCATTTATAATTAATAGAATTTGGGAAGAATTTAATAATACATTGGACAAATAATAATTTTTTAAATTTCTTATTTCTTGGGTAGAATAGTTTGTTGGTGGGTTGTATGAAGGACCTGTCTAGTTCGGCCGGCGGGCCTGCTGTCTCACGTCAGGTGTTTCGTTGTTGTGGGATCTAACAGTGAGGTGTGGGCTACCCCTTTATATACCTTCCTTTGATACTTTACTTTCATTGTTCCTTGATAATGTGAGTAGTCACGAAATCGCTTGGAACTTCTCTATTCTTTCACGGTGGTTGTTTTGCATATTCTGAAATTACCTGTTTACTGTGATCTTATTGCATATATATATTATATATATATATATATATATATATATATATATATATATATATAAAATATATATATATATATATATATATATATATATATATATATATATATATATATATGTATATATATATATATATATATATATATATATATATATATATATATATATATATATATATATATATATATATATGTGTGTGTGTATGTATGTGTGTGTGTATATATTGTCATATCCCCAATATGTTATTGTGATCACTCCTGCGCTTAGGACAGTTTACCTGAAGTTTACCTGGAAAGAGTTCCGGGGGTCAACGCCCCCGCGGCCCGGTCTGTGACCAGGCCTCCTGGTGGATCAGAGCCTGATCAACCAGGCTGTTGCTGCTGGCTGCACGCAAACCAACGTACGAGCCACAGCCCGGCTGGTCAGGAACCGACTTTAGGTGCTTGTCCAGTGTCAGCTTGAAGACTGCCAGGGGTCTGTTGGTAATCCCCCTTATGTATGCTGGGAGGCAGTTGAACAGTCTCGGGCCCCTGACACTTATTGTATGGTCTCTTAACGTGCTAGTGACACCCCTGCTTTTCATTGGGGGGATGTTGCATCGTCTGCCAAGTCTTTTGCTTTCGTAGTGAGTGATTTTCGTGTGCAAGTTCGGTACTAGTCCCTCTAGGATTTTCCAGGTGTATATAATCATGTATCTCTCCCGCCTGCGTTCCAGGGAATACAGGTTTAGGAACCTCAAGCGCTCCCAGTAATTGAGATGTTTTATCTCTGTTATGCGCGCCGTGAAGGTTCTCTGTACAGAGTTGTTCTTGGGGTTTCTGCGCTAAGTTTTAAACAGTAATTGAAAAGGTTGTGGATATTGTATCCAAGTTTTCTGTCAAGTTTTTTAAAACGTTATTTGCATCGTCGGTGACCAATATAACACTATAACTGGGAGACTTTCCTTCAACTGTATTAGTGTTAATCTTATTAAGAACGTGTGTCACACGTTTCCTGCAATCACGTATGAAGTATAAGGTAAAGTGTAGCGTGTTGAATGAACGTGTAATGTATGTACACTCTTCCTCGAGGAACTGCAGACTGGAAATTCTGTAAGGATTTATTGAAGTAGATATTTCGGAAGCTAGACGCCCCGCTATTCCACGCCGCTACGTCCACGAACTCAGACACTTGGCCGCTAATAACAATATTCTTCTCACTACAGCGGACAAAGGAGTGGTCAGCCTCAACCATAGTAACTACATTAATAAAATGCAAGAGTTACTAAGTAACATCAACAGATACGCTTCCATCCCCGAACATATATAGAAGAAAGAAACGTATTCCTTTCTTAGTAAGACTCGAAACATGCACAAAGATCAAAATAAGGCAAAAGACTCTTCCACCTCGTCTCTACCAACCCTAGATCAACGAGGGCTTTATGGATTACCAAAGGCCCACAAATCCAATGTACCTATGAGAGCCGTTACGTCCAGTATCGGCAGCGCCCCGCACAAGCTAGCAAGAGTTTGGGAGAAATATTTATCGAAACTTCTGAGTACGATTAGTCATGTCCACCTGAAACACTCGGATGACCTTAATCGTGTAAGGGATCTCGATGTGAGTGATAAGAAGCTTGCAAGTTTCGACGTCACTGCATTATTAACATATGTACCAGTTGGT